GTTCCCAGGGCTGAGCACAGGGCATGGTCCATGGTCCAATTCTGGCAACAATTCACTACCTGCTCTTACTTTAAACATTAGTGTTGGAAAAGAAGACACAAAATCGGACCCTGATGACAGATAGAATTCAAAGGTTTCACCGGGAGAAAAGGAGCATATCACTCCCATCAAGAGTAACAGTCTTGGAAACCCACAGGGGCAGTTCCACCCTGTCCTGTAGTCCCTGTAAGTCAGAATTGACGCAATGGCAGTGAGTTTGGTTGGGTTTTGCTACTTTTATAAGGAGCCCTGGTGTGGTACTGGGTTACTTGGTAACTCAGTTTGGGCTGACCAGCTGCTCCTGTCCAGCTACCCTATGGGGTCGTCAGGAGTTGGGGTGGGGTTGATGGCTGTGGGAGTGTGGTAAGCCTTTTTATGCAAATTCTTCCTTAACGGTTACTGACTAGAGTCCAAGGCTTCTACTTGCCAATGGTCTCTTAGCTACTGCCAAATTTTGAGCCCATAACCCTCTCCTCTCAGCCAGCCAGCCCTGTAGTTGTCAGCCAGTGAACTTTATTGGGAACCTGCCTGGCGAGGAAAATACAAAAAGGAGGAGGATGAGGAGTTTTTCAAAACCCATCAGCACATGCATGGTTAAATCGTGTGGTCTGTCCACACCCTGAAGGAGGTCCCTTGGCGGCAGAGTAGGGAAGCCCTAGGCTTCTCCCCGCAAGGTCAGCGGTTCACACCTAGCCCCTCCACAGGAGAAAGATGAGATTTTCTGCTTCCATAAGGAGTTGCAGTCCTGCAAACCCACAGGGGCAATTGGACTCTGTCTTATAGGGTCACTGTGAGTCAGAATCAACGTGATGACAGTGAGCTGAAAACTGATAGAGCCTTTATTTGTGGACTTGCAAAACCCTCAGGTACCTTAAGTTCTCACTTCAGAAGTGCGCTGCCATTGGGATTCTCAGAGATGTTGCTGATTCTCCATCTGTCTCTGACTTTTTGTGTCTCTTGGGGCGGCAGTTTCATACACTGTGTCTTTCCCGTGATGCTTGTGTTCTATTTCCATAGTGGTTTTCCTTCTTACCAGGCCCCTCCTTTGGTGGTCCATTTTGAAGCCTTCCTTTCGAATACGGGTTGGCTGGTTGGAGGACACGGGGATGTTTGTTAAGCCTGTTTACCAAGATCCATGCCCTTAGGTGTGAAAACACTGATATCCTGTAAAATGTGCAAAGGCAGGAATGGACCACAATTCTGGGCTCTTAAGGGTATGAGTTACCCCCACCCCCACCCCCAACTGTCCTTGGCATTAAACCCTATCTTGATTTTGACTCCCAGACTTCCTGAGAATTCTGGAAAGTGGCAGGGGGTGTGAGGGAGCCTTTGGTAGGCGGTGTGTGAGGGAGCATTCCATATGCCAGTGGGAGCGGCCCCCTTTTGAAAGGCTTCCTCTGTGTCCAGTGACCTGGTCAACCTTGGGGTGGACAGTTGAGACCTGATTCCTGAGGCAATGCGAGGGGACATACATGAACCGGAAGTTAATTCCTCTTTTCTCTCCTGCAGCGTGTGGGCCACGGGAATGACAACCACGCTGACGCAGACAGGTCCCCAATATTTCTCCAGTTTGTTGACTGTGTGTGGCAGATGACAAGACAGGTAAGCAGCCCAGCGCTCCGGGTTGAGCGATCGACAGGCGCTTGCACTTTCCTTCGCAGCGAAGCCCTGTGTCTGTATCCCTTGGACCCCTCCCCGACTTAGCCCCTGTGGAGTCCAGTCGCTGTAGAGATATGCAGAACATTAGAAACAGCCCATGTCACTGTGACCGCTGCCATGGTGGCCTTCTTCCAGGGCCCCCAATGAGCCAACAGCCCTGTCACTGACAGCTAGCACATAGCACAACCCACATCCTGACGCCAGCCATAGCCGCTCCCACCCCAGGGCCAAGGCTTAACAGCAGCTCCCACACCCCAGTGCACCCAAGAAAGCAACCCCGCTGTCCTTAAGTTGACCCAGACTCAGCACCACGAGACAGTGGGGTGGACCTGCCCCACAGCATTCCCATGGCTGTCATCAGGGGCTTTGAACTGCTGATCTTGCAGTTAGAAGCCCAACTCGAGTCCCACAGTGCTACCAGGGCTTGAGTGGCTTCTGAACCATAGTGACATGGGAGGACAAAGAACAAGTGGCCCACAGATTTTCCGAGGCTATGAATCATTATGGGAGCGGACTGCTTTATCTTTCTCCTATGGAGTAGCCAGTAGGTTCAAGCGATTGACCTTCTGGTTAGCAGTCCACTGTGGACTCCACCAGGGCTCCTAGCAGGCGTGCCTCTACAGGAGGCCCTCTTCCTTGACCTAGCTGACCCATGGCTGTACCTGCTTCGTCCCTGATGTCTAACCTCCAAGTCTTGAGTTGGGGTCTTTCCAGGAACAAGAGACAGTAAAGTGTGGCTTAAAGGAGGTGCTTCCCCTGAGTGTTGGATGTACCTCTGCAGGGCCAGAGTCTGGTCCCTCCCTCACCCAGTCGATCATCAGCCAGAAAGGTGCTCCCCAGAGAGCCAGCTCCTCTTTGGGACTCACCACCACCCCAGGGCCTTTCCAGAGCCTGTCATTGACCAGTCTACATTCCCTGCCACCAACCCCTAAGACACAGGGATTTCATGCTACAGCCAGCATGAGGCTCCTCCATGCAGCTGGCACATTTTATGGCCCCACCCCCCAGAGAGGCCCAGAGGATCTGTACCAGCTGGGCCAGCAGGCTCCGCATTCCCTGGGGCCCTGTCTGGTCGGTTGTTTCCCAGCCAAACCTCTGTCTTCTCGCCATTGCAGTTCCCGTCCGCTTTCGAGTTCAACGAGCTGTTCTTGCTGACAATCTTGGACCACCTCTATAGCTGTCTCTTCGGTACTTTTTTATGCAACTGTGAACAACAACGGTTCAAGGAGGTGAGCCTGCTAGAGCCCTACTCTCCGACCAGAGCCGCTGCCGAGTGGGGCCGGCTGTACCAGGAGCAGGTGCCAGCCCCACCCAGGGCGTCCAGTCCTGGGGGCCCAGGGGACACAGCCCCACTAGGTGGGCATCTTGATGTGGCCCTGCCGTCAGCATGGCTTGCTGAGCTCCATCTTTACCCCACCTCCAGGGCTGCTCCATTTTGCAGCCCGCGTGCTCAAGCCCCACTAAGTGGCCCTTTTTCATGCTCACTCTGCTTATCCTGCCCCCTTGCATGACTCCTGGGTTTTACCCACATAAGTACAATTTTTTTAAAATCATTTTATGAGGGGCTCATACAACTCTTATCACAATCCATACACACATCAATTGTGTAAAGCACGTGTACATTCATTGTCCTCACCATTCTCAAAACATTTGCTCTCCACCTAAGCCCCTGGCATCAGCTCATGAATACAATTTCTGTAAAACACACACACACAGAAAGGTCATCAATGAAGGGCCTGTGTGTAGGCAGCTTGGGAGGAAGTATGCAAGCTTGTGACCCAAGCAGCAGGCAGTGTCTCCTTTTGACTTTGAGCATTCTCATTTTGACGCTGCCATTGGGCAGCATGACCTGGGCCTGTGGGGCCGGGTGCTGGCTATCACCTTAGTGATGTGTGTACTTCTCTGCACAAAGTCGCTTCAGCTGGGCCCCCCCCTCAGCTGTAAAGCCTACCCCCGCTGCCTAATGTGAACAGTCACCTAACAGACTCCTCAGGGGCAAACATTCATTGCTTCTCGGTGGGTCTAGATTCTCTTACCCCCATCAGCCCGGGATTGTTAGAAAGTTCCAGCTCCACCTTCCGCCGACCTCAGCAGCTAGGTTAGCCCCAGAGAACAACTGGTCCCCAGCATTAAGTCCCTGCTCCGCCCGGCTTGGAGTGCACAATGAATTCACTGCCTTACTAATTCACATCCTTTCCTCGATTGCAGGCCAACTCATGCTGATATGATGGTGAATGGCATTTATTTGAGTAAATTCCCCTTTTTCGCTTTTTAGGATGTATATACAAAGACTGTATCGTTGTGGTCCTATATCAATAGCCAACTCGATGAATTCTCTAACCCCTTCTTTGTGAACTATGAGCACCACGTGCTGTACCCAGTTGCTAGCCTGAGTCATTTGGAATTATGGGTAAACTACTATGTACGATGGAATCCACGAATGCGACCTCAGGTATGTCTGTTTACTTCTTCACTTTCCAGAATCCCCGCCCACCCCGCCCCCCAGCAGCCTGCTGGGCTAGTGTTAAACCTCTCTCCACTATGCCCTCTGCTGTTGAAGCCCCCCCACCCCCGAGTCTCCTGGTGATTCCTCCAAGTGGCCTTTCAGGGGCTTCCTGGGGCTCTGTGGGAGGTTCCCAGATACAGGGTGACATAGCAATGCCAAAAACAAGCCAAGGCAGCTGTGGGTAGGAGTCGGGCTTCCTGTGAAGAGGGGAAATGGTGTCAATACCCCTAACCATACATCTTCCCTGGACCATTTCCTCAGAGGTGGAGAGAAGTTCCAGGTCAGCTTGGGCACAATTGTTTGGGTCCAGACAGAATCCAGCCCAGATGCAAACTGAGGGAGAAGACTCTTTGGAAATGGCAGGTGTGCCTGAACTTGCAGGGGCTGGAGAAGTAGCCAGGCTTTGCTTACAATGCTGCCTGAGAGGGCCTGTACTTCCCCAAGGCAGGAACTCCCAGCCCACCGCTGCCCATTCCTGCCCTGCCTCAGTTTTTGCCAGGCTGTTTTGGAGGGCGGGGTGCCAAGAGACTACAGAGTAGTCCCCACAGAAGGAGCTCCAAACCGGCTTTCCTTGGTGATTCAGCAGGGTCGAGGATCCACAGACTTTCTTCACCATTCACAAGAAGCCTCACAGAGCTGCTATTGGAAGGGAAAGCAGTGGACCCTGCTGCTCAGTGTGCTCACATGATCCGGCCTGACCCTGGCCCAGAGCACCTTCCCATCACAGCAGCGCCCTCTGCCGGCGGGCTGTCTGCACACACATCTCCTACCCTGACCTGCACACAATTCCCCAGGGCTGAGACCAGCTCTGTGCCAATGCTACTTGGCAAATGGGGCCTGCGGATGATGACAAGGCCAATTGTGCTGTGGTAGTGCTACCACCGGACCGTCTAGCTAGCGCGTGCCCAGCCTGGGCGCTTTACACACATGCTGCAACTCAGCAGCCAGTGTGAGACGCCACAACTAGCTAAAGTTGATCGGGTGGCCAGGTGGCATGCCATAGGGGTTTAGACTGTCCCCCAGGGGCCATGGAATTCACTTGGAAGCACATGGAGTTGTCTGACAAGGCCCATGTCGTGTTTTAGATCTAGATCGCCTGTCAGCACAGATGGCAGTGGAGCCTGGGGCAAGGTGCAGATGAGCAGAACGGTGGGCTCCCAGCTCTGAGGAGGCCCATCAGGCCGCCCACTTCCTTAGGGACCAGCTTGGCTTGTGCCACTCACGCTAGCAGCCCTAGGCTTGTGTCTGTGCACTTTCTGGAATCGGGGCTACATTGCAGCCTGGGGGCATCTCTTTCTGCTGGCCATATTAGCCACAAGGTATACCTGGGCCTGAACTGGTAGGGTCACGTGGTGGCCACCAGGGCCTGCACAGTGAACAATATTCTCTTGTGGCGGTATCCCTTGCCCCCAGCTTCCCAGGGCCGCCAGAGAGGCATGTTCTTAGCCTAGTGGGCGCTGCTTTTACCCTGGCACACTCTGTCTTGCACCTGCAGAGGGACGGGGTAACTAGGGGAGTAGACAGTGACCCCCATCCACCCACACCCCTGGTCTGTGCCCTTGGTGGCGGTCCCCATGTTGTCACAGGATGAAGCTGAGCTTGGTGAGGAAGGAGCAGTGCACACATGGAGGATGCCACTGGGACGAACGGGCAGGGGGAGTGGAGGCCCGGGAGACAGAAAACGGGGTGCCCAGCCTAACTTGTTATCTGCCTGGTGGGCAGTGACTGTAGATCATTTCGTGCCGTAGACAACCCGAGCTCCTTTTGTCTAGACTAGAGCCTCCTGAGGGACGATTTAAAAGAGCAGAGGAGTGCCCATCCGGCAGTGGGCGCCCCTGTTCTGCCTGCCACTAAGCCTCGCTCTGGCTGCGGGCACCCATATGTCCGCAGAACCTCGCTCAAAGTTCAGTTGTAAAAAGTACGGGAGCGAGGACTCTGATGGGTTTGCAGTTGGTGGTCTCTCTTGAACCAGCCTGCCGCCAGCTACCCTCCTCAGGAAAGTAGAGGCAGAGGGCAAGCCCCACCCCCAAAGGACCCTGGGCAGGCACTGCCCTCGTGAAAGGGGTCGCTGCACTTGGTAAATGACTGGGCGTGACAGCGTACACTTCCGCCGTCCGAGGAGCCCTGGGTTGAAATCGTGATGACAGCCCTCCCAGTGTCTCAAGGTTAAAACATTGCCTTGAAAAACCAATAGAGCCACATTAAAGTAGACATAGCCACGCCTCTGACTCCTAGCGACCTAAGGGAACAGAGTAGACCTGCTCTCTTAGCTTCCCGAGGCTGCCCATCTGGACGGAAGCAGGCTGGAACCTGTGTTGGGCTCAAACCCACCGCACCACCAGTGCCCAAAGTTCCCACGTGACCCAGCACCTCCACTCCCAGGAACCTTCCCCGAAGGCCCGAGGCCTGACTAGGAGCAGACCAACGTCACCGGACCTGCGCCCATGGCCCTGCAGGTCGCCCACCGCGGGAAGCAGGAGCACAATCCCGGCCACTCTGAGGTGCCAGGAAGCCAGTGGGCCCCAAGAAATGGTGTCTGTCCCTACTTACGTGAGAGTGCGTGGAGAGGCAAGCGTATTACTGGTTCCTGGGAGCGTGTGTGGGGCACAGTGTTCGGGGAGATGACAAGGGGCCAACTGCCCATACGGAAAGCCCCAGAGTCAAGCTCCTGAGACCGGCTCAAGCAGGCCTTCATTCCAGAAGAGAGCAGTGCGCTTGGGGGCACCTGGTCACTGAGCTGTCTGTCTCCCTGCAGATGCCAATCCACCAGAATCTCAAGGAGCTCCTGGCTGTGCGGACGGAGCTGCAGAAGCGGGTGGAGGACTTGCAGCGCGAGGTGGCCGCACGCTCCATCTCGTCATCCTCGGAGCGCGGCTCTTCGCCTGCGCATGCGGCCAGCCCGCTGCAAACGTCAGTCTGAGGCCTCAGGCCAGCACCTTGCGGCCGCCCGACTGGCCAACCGCTGCGGCGGAGCTCATGGGCTGGGCTTCAGTCCTGTGGCCTCCAGCCGCGGGCCGCCCATGTGGCTGGCCGCCAATTCCACCCAAGTCCCCGTGCCAGTGCATTTTGTTTCGTCAGCAGCCTGTTCTTCTGTCGCCAATAGCTCAGCCCCGTGAGCCACCTCCTACGGTCAGGCGGCTTTGGTGCCATTAGAGTGAAGGAGTGCAATACTCTGGGTAAAGGGCATTTTCCAGCCAGAAACCTTCCCTCCAAACCCCAACCCGCTTCCCACAGTGGCGGTCCTGGCTGCTTGCAGCCCTGCCACAACCTGAGGACTGCTTCCCAGGTACCTGCACGCCCGGCCTGCCTGCCCGTTACTGCTGTGTACAGAGAGGGTATTTTTAAAAAGAGAAACAAGCCTTTATTTTCCTATGCCCCTTTTTTATGTTTAGGATAGTCAGCCGGCCGGGAGAAACCGGTCCCCAAAAGCTCCAGTCCGTTGGGGTGAGGAGCGTCTGTAACCAGGCTGCCATCCTGCCACTTAAACTGGCCGGGGACCCTCTTGCTCTGGGATGGGAAACCCAAAGCTCTCAGCCTGCCTTCTGTCAGAGCAGCTCTTCCAGCAGGCGTGCACGCAGCGACGCCCAAGGCCGCCACTGTGTGCTGGTAGCCGCTGCTCGAAAGAGCAGAGGATGGCTACCGCAGGGCTCAGTCGCTCCTGCCGGGGCTAGAGCTCCCAGTACTGATGGTTCCCTTGTTCCCGAAGAACCCCACTGCCAGGTTACAGCTCGCCCGGGGCAGGCCACTCAGTACCGCCCTCCATCGTCTCAAATGCCTAGGTGCTTCGAAGTACAACTTGCGATTCACCTGGTTCTGAGAACGTGTTCTTCAAAAGAACTTTGCAGGCAAATGCTTAGAACCTTCTATGAAATCAGGGCTCCAGGCTTCCCGCTTCAGTTGTGTGCTTCCAAATCCTAAATGAATTGAACTGAGCTTCCAATTTGTGCTCCAAACACAAAACAAAAGTGTATTCATTGATAAATTTGTTTTGTTTTTGGGGTGCTGTGAAACGCATTTTCTCAGCCAGCTGCCCTCGTGTGGTGACAGCCCAGAGCGAGCTAGCCTGCTGGGTCTGGCTGATGGGGCAGGGTTGCTGGGCACACAACCCCCTCCCACACACCAGGCTCGCTCCATGAGCATCCTAGGCCCTTGCAAAAACAACGGGGTGCAGTTTGGTTGCTTACACCAGTTCTTTCTCTGGTGTATTCAAATGTACGAGAATGGAAAGCCCTCCCGGTTCAGGTTTTTAAAAAGCTGGTACAGTCTTGTCTTTGCCTCATCTGATGCACTGTTTCGATCTCTAATTAAAATGATACTGTTTGCTCCTGCGTGTGCTTTTTTTTTTTTTTGCCACCTCTTTATAGGAATTTCTGTCATGTTTTTCTCTGAAACAAAATAGGGGATCAGCCCCTTCCTCTGGGCTCTGAACCACTCCTGTCCAGGAAGGGCCTGCACAGGCTTGAGCCCCGGGAGCACGGTGGGGTAGGCATAGGTGGATTCAATATACCAGCCAGCAGTCAGCTTCCAGGTCTGTAATGCTGGAAGCTGTGACGTACAGAAAACACAGGGGACTTGGCTAGGGGGTGGGGATGCCTGAGCAGCCCCTGGGCCTCCTACTCCCAGGGTAGCTGGGGACTCTGCCCATGCTGGGGTGGGGAAGGCTGCATGGTGTCGCATCATCTCCTGCAGCTCACTCTGAAGGACTACATGTCTGTGACCCTCCACCCAACTGTGGCAGAGAGGGAGCAGGGGGAGGGGGAGGGGGCCCAGGAAATCCCTTGCCAGGCAGCTGTCAGCCCCAGCACGCATAGAAGCTAGGCTACAGGGCCGCTCTTGTCAGTTGACTGGCTGAACAGAACTGCTTCTAAGGGTCAATTCGGGTTGACAGGTTTGGTTTGGCCCCTGAGCACCCTCCAACCTCGCTAGGAAGCCTGATATCACTGCAGAGAATCTGGTCTGAGCCAAGCTGCAGGGCACCCTCGCACCTCCGCCTAGAGTCTCCACGGGGCCCTGGCTCCCTCTCAAGGCCAGGGGCTAGGCTGGGTAGTCATGAGCCAAGGTTCCAGCTGCAGCTCAGCCACTTCCCAGCCCCCACCTGGGCAGCACTGGATCAATAGCCGGCCTTCTGGAAGCGACATTGGCCACACTCCTGCATGGCCAGACCTTAGAAGCTGCCTACAATGAGAGCTGAAACGGGCCACCTCCACGAGCCTGTCATTAAGCTGCCCAATGAGGAGGACCAAGTCATGACCACCACATTTTTAGAGAAAGTCCTTTGACTAAGGAGGAGTGGACCCAGGTGGAATCCACCATAGATTATTCTAGGGGACATGGTGTCACCTGACAGTGGAAGTGCCTAACTTCCACCTCATACTCTAGCCTGTTAGGCTCGACTTTGATGCAAACACTGGGCAGGTCACACGTCCCATGGAAACACACACCCCGACAATCCAGCCCTTCTTCCTCGGAGAACCAGTTCCAACCCTGGACCGGAGTGGCCCAGAGCTCCTGCTCAGGGTGCCCCACCGGACCTGGACTTGGTACCATACACACTGGACCTTTCTTTGTTCCTTTTCCTCCAAGGTAAGCGGCTGTGGGCACTCTGAAGTTCACTCCTTTTGGCTCCCCACCCCCTCAGTCCCCTAACTGGAAGGTGGAGTGCCCCAGGGGCCAGGAGGCAGGCTGATCTTCATGTGTGCATTTGCCAAGCTACCTTCTGTGTACCGAGGTTCTGGCAACCAGCTGCACCAAGGGAGCTGGGGGGATGCAGGAAGGGAGCCCTTGCCTAAGGCCATCCCACCGAGCTGGCTTCCTGCCCAGCAGCTGAATGGTGCCCAAGTCTTTACCATCAGACAAGCCTGACTGGCAGGCCAAAGGGGATACCTTGTTAATGGCCCCAGAGCCTGGGAAGCCCCAAGAGGCCAAAAGTGGATGGCGTTTTCAGGCGTCGATCCTAGAAGCAGCCTGGAGCCCCAGCGCTCCAACTTGTTTTTCACACAAACGTGCGGGGCATGCAGCATATGGGATGGTAGCTGGGGTGAGAGGGGGAGGCTATTTGGAGTCAGTGGTCCCCCTCAGAAGCCAGCGTGCTTCATCCCACTTCAGGCCCATAAAGGAATTGCCTGGCAGTGTCCAGCGGCCTGTGGTGTACTGTCCCTAGGATCCTAACCTCCTATTGACGGATCACTCGGAAGCAGTCAAGGTGCAAGACTCTAGTTGACACTGGAGCCACACAAAACATTCCAAGAGGCCAGCTTTGCTCCATTTCAAACCAGACTGCTCTGGCCCTTGAGTTCCAATGTTTCCCACTGTTTGACTAGCCCAGAGTGCCCTTTGTCAGAGTCGGTCAAGTAGCATGGCTAGTCTCCCGACATAATGTGTGTCAAAATCCAAGCAAGCAATCCCCCGCTGCCCCAAAAGTATTTGTGTTCAATCCCCAAGCATGCTGTTGGCGTCAGTGCTCATTCTTGATATTTGTACTCTGGGTAGTAAAATAAGAATATATGAAGAGTGCATGGGCAGCACAGTCTCCCCCAATTCCCCTCCTACCCAGTATACTCATTCCTTACTAACTAACATCGTTAGGTTCTAAAGACGAGGTCGCTGTGTGAAAATTGGCATGATGTAACAAAGGGAGGGCCATGTCAGATCACAAATGGAAGGATGACCCACATCATTACACAGGAGCCAAATTGACATCATTATAGAACTGCCAACTGACATTATCATACACCTACTAACCCACTGAGAATCTCAGCCCAGGCTACATTGACACCTAACCAGCCCCACCAGCATGCCTCTCCTTTGGGACCTCACACCGCTATTGGGAGGAGAGCTTTTACTCGTGTCGTTGATGTGAACTGTTGTCGGCTAAGGAGAGTTGGTAAGGGAGGAGTGGGGATACAAAACTCATTCCCAATGTGTAAATGAGTCCGGGCAGCACAAGTCCAGTCAGCCCCATGGAATGAGATGAGTCGCGCCTGGGAGGCGGCTCCCTGCTGATCCAGAAGACTCATCATCTCCGAGAGCAGACAATCTCGAGGCACCTGTTGCCTCTGAAATCCCAGAATGTCTCTTCGGATCAGCTCTTCGGACGGCCAGCACCTGTCCTCCAAAATAAAACTGCCCCTCTGGGTGGTGTGTGTGGGCACATGAGCATGCATATCTACATGTGTGTGTATGGCACGACTTGGTGCTGACTGGGTATCTCCCTGCAGGGGCTCCAGGGACATTCCAAACACTGGCTGTCTGCTAGGGGTTCACTCTATTTACACGTTTTGAGGCCATTGCCTTGGGCAGGCCCACCACGAAGAACTGAGCCAGCAGGTCTGTGAGGCACGCAGCCCTAGGTTCAAGTCTTCTTGTCCCCTAGCCCAACCGTCCTCCCTCTCAGTGCTGGCTTCATGTCTCTGCGAACGAGCGCCCGATAGGCGGGCGGCCCACCCCATGCACCGGGCCAAACCCAAGAGCAGCTCCGGAGAAAGACAAGCAATGAGAAGCCAATAACGTTGACAGCAGCAGTGGGTTCGAAGGAAAGGGGCTGGGACGTAGGTAGGCTGCCTCAGATCCGGGGCTGCTCAGACTGCTGCGGAGGTTCTGCCGACTGGGTCTGCAGTGCCTGATATTGCACTAGGGAAAAACAGAGGCCTGGTTAGGACGCACGGACGGGGTTCTGCCTGGTCCAGAAGGGAGAAGCCAGACGTAATCCTCCTCTACATTTGGCCCAGGAACGGTGGACACCTCCCTTGGACGCTGATCCCAGCCCCAGGGCCAACTATGCTCAGCTTCCCAGGTCTGTCAAACTGGATGCTTGTCCCAAGGCTGCTGACAGGGTACCTGAACAATGACAGTGACTCAGGCGCACGGACCCCATTCGGCCTGGCAGGTTTTAAGAGCGGAGAGGTGATTTCAATCCCATAGTCTCCCGGCCCTTCAAGCACCATTGCCCTTCTCGACCTTGCTCCAGGGTCCTCCCCAGCCTGACCACCCTCATCTCCCTGAACTACGGGCACCTAACAGCCCTGCATGTGAGCCAAGGCGGAGCCCAGCCTGAGCTAGAGGGCCCTGGCTGTGAGGCGGTCTGCTTACCTTGCGGCTCCTCGCACACGACGGCTTCTAGGTTCTCCCCCTTAGCGTAGTCTGCGTTGAGGCCCTCTGCAAGGCAGGGCAAAGGGCAGCGTGAGCGACAGACGCGGGGTCCCCAGTCCCAAGGCCAGAGGCCATGTTGTCGGGAGCTCTCTCTTCCTCCTTAGGAGCACCAGCAACACGCACCAAAGGCCTGGCCACTGGTTCCCCAAGGAGAGCAGCCACCCAGGCAGGGGGTGGATGGAGGGGCTCAGAGCCAGCCCAGGTGCCCGAGGCCAGAAAGGGAGCTAAGCAATGACTGATAGATGTGAGCAAAGCCACCTGGAGGAGGCGGGCCAGCCCCCTGGAGGCAGGAGCAGCTGCTATCCCAGTCGCTGATTGGGACTGACAGAAAAATCCTCTGCAGATGGCATGCAGGCCACTGAGTGGGCCCAGGCTGGACACAGGGCCCCACCCCCGGCACACATCCCCTGGCACGTAGGGACAGGATACCTTAGCTGTGCAGGCCCCTCCAAGGCCCAGGCCTATCCACCTTGCACGCTCCTCTTTCTGCCAGGGCTGCGGGCACCTCCTGGGAGCCAGCCCCTAGTATGGTGGCCCTACTGAGGGCACCGGGCTCACAATGCCCCCACCAGATGTGGGGGCGGCTCTTTGGCAGGGCTGCCTGGGAAGGAGCCCTCCCTGCAGGAGTCCCAGAGTTGGCCCGTGGTGGGTACTCCCCTGTCTGTTGCTCAGCGAGCAGCCACTAAGGGGCATCTGAGTCCCAGACAGGCCACCCCTATGGATCTCAAAACTTAGTCCCTCAGGCCTGGGCCCAGAGGCTCTGATAGGTGGCTCTGGGGAAAGCTGAAAGCTGACAGCAGTGGCAGCCAGGCAGGTGAGTGCCAGGGAAGGAGCAAGACAGGGCAGTGGCGGCGGTGGGCAGTGGGCAGTGGGCATTGAGGCCAAAGCGGGAGGGAGGTCTGCCCGTCTTTACCTTCACCATCTGCTGCATCTGAAGACAAGACACAGAGATGAGGATGTGGCCACACACACAGTCCCCACCAGACACATGGACCTGGGCACTGAAGGGCCACAGTCCCCAAAGCCCGGCTCCCACCGGATGGGAAGGGACAGGAGGCCACGCCTCTGTGCTCAGTGCAAACTGCTACCGGCTCCTCAGTGGACAAACCACACAGTCTATCACAGGGCAGAGGGTCCAGAGTGAAGGGGGTCAGACAGACACGGAGGCCACTCTCCCAAGGGTCGTCACGAAGGAGGGGCTGCCTGGGGGCCGCAAGGAGTGGACTGCACCGCTGAGGCTGCTGGGAAGGGCAGGTGCCCTGACAGAAGTGAGCCTGCAATGGGGCTTTGGCTGGCAGGAAGCATCCAGTAGGGGTGCTGGCCCAGGACTGGCAGGGCGATGGGATGGATAGGTGGGGCCAAAAAGAAGGGTCTCGCTCCAGGCCTGGGACCACAGCGGGGATGGGGGTGGGGGAGCGTCCCAGGAGGTTCCAGGTCAGGAAGGGAGTGTGGGAGAGGCGAAGGCACCCAGACAACCACTTCTAAAGTGTCAAAGAGACTGGCCACTAATCACTGGCTTCAGTGCGCTGCCCAATGGGCCATGGGCCAGAGGCCTGCCCTTGGGTAAAGCCTGAGCCGGTACAGGAGTTCAGCAGCCCACCCATTCCAAAGGAAGGGCCCATCTCCCTGGTCACTGGGCCTCACAAAAATATGGTCCCTGGGAAGTAGCGTTCTGGATGGTCATGGTCACGGTCACGGTCACAGTCTGCAGTTTGCTCCCATGCCCTCCCTTCCTTTCCCTGGTCTGAGAAGTGGGGCAGCAGGCTGCAGGGACCCCACTTACGCTGGATGCGAAAGCAGAGCTTCTTCTGCTGGTAAGAGATGTAGCTGGAGACGGCGCCGATCAGGGCCATGGCCAGAGCACTGGCTATGCCGGCCACGGTGCCGGTCTCAGCAGACATTCCTGACCAGAGAGGGTGCCCGGGGAGGGAGGCAGAGAGACAGGATCAGATTCAAGTTCGGGTTCTGGTGGCTACCTCCTTTCCTTCCCCAGCCACAGAGTCCGTTCCCCTCCCCCCAGCTATCTGTGAAAGTATGAAAAGAACCCTCTCCCCGCTTGATTTCCATGTTGGGGAACAAAAAAGAAGGCTGGTCTGTATCTCCGCCCACCCTGACCCACTTAGGCCGCCTCTCTGGGGCTCTTTGCTTGGGGGCTCAGAAACCCACCAGACTCTGAGTCTTCCCCGCCGCCGCCGCCACCACCACCACCACCACCATAGTAGCCGCCACCTAGAGAGAGGAACAAAAGTACTTATTGTTGGCCAGGACCTCCGACCACCCCTGTCGGGGGCAGAAGGCCCTCTCCGCTAGAACTGCTTCCCCTTCCGACTTCCGGGCTGCAGCAGGCTGACCCTCCAGTGCCGCCTCTGCCCGGCAGATGCACCTCCCTTGAATCGGTTCCCCAAGAGACTGCACTTCTCGGCCCCGTCTGTCCGTCAGTCCACCTGTCTGCACCTGGGGGCCTGCAGGCAGTTGGCAGGGACACTTCCAGCCACCTCCACGCATCCCCGTCCCCGGGATGGCCCCAACTGGTGGTGGTGGTTCCTTTTTGAAGATGACAGACGAGAATGCGCACGGTTCACAGAGTCGTCGGCCAGGGTCCTGCCTGCTGAGGTTTGCCCTCTGCTTGCCCGCGGCCTGCACGTGAACTCGCTTTACTTCCCGCTGGAACGCACTGTGGTCATGGGCCTTCCGGGGCTAGCTGGGGCAGGGGAGCTCCCAGATGGTGTGCGGACAGAATCCTGCAATTCAAAAGGGAGGCGGAGGCGGAGGCTGCGCAGTGGTGTGCATGGAGGGGATGACAGACATGAGACAAAATGCATCTGGAGGTGGATGCCCGGTAACTTTCACCCAGCCATGATAAAACGCTTTTCTTGGGGGGTTTCTTTACAAGGCTCTGACATCACCGGATGGGGAGTAGGAAAAGGTAGCGTGAGGAATGGAGACTTGACAGTGGGGGTTAGCACATGCACGCGCACACGCACACGCACACGCACACACACACACACACACACACACACACTGGTGAGTAAGTAAAGCTGGGACCATCTGCTTGGGTTCAGCAGATGTCTCCCCGGCCAGGGCCGGCTCGTGATGCTATACTTGTGATCCAAGATGGCACCCTTTCGGGAGAGAGTGGGAAAGGGAGACTGGGACCTCTGCCTTATTCTCGATGAGACAGGCGAAGGAGCAAAAAGTGGAGGTTGGAACAGAGCATGCGTGGAGTCCATGATATCTCAGGGCTACACTTCCCAGAACCCATTGCTATCTGCTGGAATTTCCCAAGAATCTTGTGCTCCAGGGAAGCTTTTCAAAAGCTCAGTGATCATAAGGAGAGCCAGAAATAAGGAGGTTGGCAGTCCAGTCTTGTAAGGCTTTCTTCCCCCCTAGGAACTTCTAAATAAAAATCTCATGCTATGTTCAACGTCTTTCAAAAGTAAACCTTTCTCTTCATAAAGCAAGAACCTAATTCAGGTCACATTTGGCAAGGCTGGGGTGGGGGGTGTAGAGGGTGAGGAACACCATTCTTCACCATGATGGAGGGACCGGAGTCTTACTCAGGCAAAAAGAGGACTGGCCACCAGAATCTCTTGTAGTGACAACTGTCTATGAACCCTCCATTACCACAAAATATATTGTTGGGAAAGAGATGGTTTCAAGAGTTCTGAAAATCAATTCTGGTGCAGTGTGATCACAAGGCGTCGAAGGGATTAGATATCAGGCATCATCAGAACAAAAAATCATATCATTGTGAATGAGGGGGGGAGTGCGGAGTGGAGACCCAAAGCCCATTTGTAGGCCATTGGAGATCCCCTTATGGAAGGGTCTCTGGGAGGAGACAGCCAGTCAGGGTGCGATGTAGCAACGATGAAACATACAACTTTCCTCTAGTTCCTAAATGCTCCCCCCCCTATCATGATCCCAATTCTACCTTAAAAATCTGGCTAGACCAGAGGATGTACACTGGTACAGATAGGAACTGGAAACAGTGAATTCAGGAGCAGTGGTGTGAGTGGCGATACTGGGAGGATGGAGGGAGGGTGGGTTGGCAAGGGGGAACTGACTACAAGGATCTACATATAACCTCCTCCCTGGGGGACGGACAACATAAAAGTGGGTGAAGGGGGACATCTGACAGTGCAAGATATGACAAAATAATAATTTATAAATTATTAAGGGTTCATGAGGGAAGGGGAGCAGGGAGGGAAGGGAAACAATGAGGAGGTGATGCCAGGGCCTTAGGTGGAGAGCAAATGTTTTGAGAATGATGAGGGCAATGAATGTACAAATGTGCTTTACATTATTGATGTATGTATGTATGGATTGTGATAAGAGTTGTATGAGCCCCTAATAAAATGATTTTTAAAAATCAGTACTGGTACATAGCGGGTCCCACAGCAAACCCACTGCCACTAGAGTATGAGGGGGGCACCCCTCCCTAAAAAACACGTAGTTTTTTTTCAAAGCCATGTAGTTTAAATTTTTTTTTTTTACAAAACAACGTTATCACCTTCAAAGTACTCTCCATTATGCCTAACACAGTTGTCAAATCTGCGATTCCATCCTTGGAAAAAATTTTCCAACTCATCTGTTTGGATGGCTGACAGCACCTCCCTCATTTTTTTCTTCACCTCTTCTACGTCATCAAATTACTGTCCTTACATGTCTCTCTTCATTCACAGAAACAAAAAGAAGTCTCACAGAGTGAGGTCAAGTGAGTCAAGTGCGTGGGGCAAGAGAGGCATGCTGGGTTTTTTGCCAAACACTGGTGCACTGAGATGGCTGCGTGAACAGGTACATTGTCATGGTGGCAAAACCAGTCCCCTGTCAGCCACAAATCAGGCCTTTTTGGTCGCACACTGTTATGCAATCTTTTCAGAACTGCTACATAGAAAGCTTGATTAACAGTCTGACCGGGTGGAACGAAATCCAAATGCACTATAAGTTGACATTTTCATCCCTTCAGGAAGTTCACAGAAGTCCAGAATGAGGTTTGTCATCAATTGACAGTTTATCTTTTTTGAAATGAGAACACCACTCATACATTTCAGTTCTCCCCATAGCGCTGTCCTCGTAAGCTGTGTTCAATATCACAACAGTGTCTGCAGCATTTTTCCAAAGCAGGAAACAAAATTTCACAGCTGCACACTGTTCTCTTAAATCAGCCATCACAAAAAACAAAGTTTGAGCAAAAATGCTTTCATGAAAAAATTCACTGTGACCAGAGAACCCAGGCTATGCCACTGGGTGCACTAACTCAGAGCAAGTTTCATGACACTCGCCTAGGGGGGGAAATGCATACTACAAAAGCACAGCTCCGCCCAGCGCAATTCTGGTTTTGTGGGGGTAGGGGTACCCCCTCATAGATATTTAGATCCAGGGCACTCCCACTGGGGTGGCTTTCTACTCCCATAAAAAGTTACAATCTTGAAACGCGACAGGGGCAGTTCTACCCTGTCCTATAGGGTTACTTGAGAAGGGATCGACTCAATAGGAGTGAGTTTCTTTGAGTTTTCTAAAAACTGACCAATTCTAGCCCCAAGAGTACTAGCAGGGTTTAGTAAGTGGATCGCTGAGCCCTGGGGCTGCAGTTAGCTCGAGCCAAGGTGGGATTGTGCTTACACAAAGCACGTCTGACGGAGGCTGATCAATGATGATAGGATTTGCGTGGCGACTTACAAAACCAGAAGGGTTGTTGCCTGACAACCTCAGCCCATGGTGAGCAGCTCAGAAAGGTGGGCAGGAGTCACCCATCACGTGCATCACCGTGGTGACATTGTCGCACATCACCACAGTCCCAGAAAGTGGGCTCTGAGTAATTGAACCTATTCTTCCTCCCACCTCCAGGTGGAGCAAAGCTGAGCTTGTAGTGCATTGAAGACTCCCAGGCGGGGGCGCACCAACATCAAACAGACTCAACAGCTCCAGGAGGGAAACTTCAAGGGATTCTAGACCCTCTGACCTTCTGCATTTCCCAAAGACAGCAAATGTGGGGAAACCGCCCCCTCCCTTCAGGGATATATATATATATGTATGTATGTATGTATGTATGTATGTATATGTATATATATGTATATATGTATATGTGTATATGTGTGTGTGTGTATGTATATGTATGTATGCACACGCAGAACGCCATCCTGTGAGCTGTGAAGGTTAAACAGCAGCTGACAAATCAAAATCCTGCTAGTTAAGTCACGTGAATGGGAACCAAGGCTAGCCACAGGGTCAACCTCAGAGTCACTGTCGGCCTAGGGGTCAGCGCAGTGAGGGTGAGGAGGAGTGGCAAACGGAATTAGAATCCAAGGAACCAGAGCCAGCAAGCAACTGGGTCTGGGGAGGAGCCTGGAATAAGACCAAGAGTGGAAAGGAGAGCCAGAGTGGGCCCACGAGGCAAGGTGATCATTAACAGCAGATGTGCCAGGGGACTGGCCCAGGGTAAAAGAGAGGCGCCCTGGGGGCCACAGACCAATTCTGGGGTGCCAGCCCCAGGGAGAGCCATGGGGAGTTGAAACATGTTGGCCTTAAGTTCCACAAGGAAAGCCAGGGACAAACGGAGTTTCTGGAAAACAGGGCCAGGCAGGAAGGGGATGAGGACTGGGGTGGGGGCTTATTGCCACTGATGAGAGACCATCACTGTCACCTATACCCAAGGAGTGAGTGTCATAAACATGCCGTGTCAAATACATAAACACCCTTGTCTTGGAAAAACTCAAGAGTCAGACATGAACATACATATCAGGTAAATTAAAAGCCAGTTTCGCCTTAGCTACCTAACATATATGTTTATACCTTACTAGGATAAGGTGACCAGACGTCCTGCTTTTGGTGGGGCAGTCCCGATTCTTAACAATTTGTCCCGCGTCCCGCGGCGTTTTAAAAAGTCCCGACTTTTGGAAAGAATCCACGACAAGCTAGGGTATACGGTTTTCGGCTGCCATGGGGCTATTTCGCCAGGATATGAATTTTATCAATGGTGTCCCGCTTTTGTCCCGCTTTACCAAGGTTACAATCTGGTCACCTTATGGAGGTTTTTAAAACAAGGGGCTTATGTATTTGAAATTTGATATTCTTCACAATGGGGTTCCAACAAGGCCGGCGGAAACGTTTTCTTCAGAAACGGGATCTATTCCTGGCCCATTACTGAGTCTCTGTATCTATTCCATTCACCTGGATTCTCTCTCTGCTTGAAGCTCATCATTTGTTTTAATGTGATGTGTCCTTTGCTGGGGGCACGTGTGTGTGTGTGTGTGTGTGTGTGTGTGTGTAAGACAAGGCCTGAACACTCCAATGTGCTGCTCACATCCACTCAGTATTTGGGGCAGGGACCCTCTGCTACAGACACCTCTGATGACAGTGGGTGTAACGGAACTGACACGAGCAGGTGCAATCCCAGCCTCATTAGGGCATGTCCTTGCTGAAACGCGGACCTTTAATAAGGAAGAGCTGGCCGTGTTGCTCAGGCCCGCCTCGAGGGCCTCACCATTTGGAAGTAGCATTTGTCATGCAGGAATAATTGGGAATCTGCTGGGTTTGCCCTTTAGCAACTCCTTCTCCTGGCACCTGACGCTGCCTGCAAAGGGATGGGTGCCGGAGCATCCTGGGCCAGAGTAAACACTGCTCCGTGAGGCAGCCCCAGATCCCCGCGGCTCACTCATCCCAGGACACATGTGTCAGTCCGAATCGAAGCAAGTCACAGCCAGAAGCTACACAGACCACAAATCACCACCACGGTCAGGGACAAGCGTAACTCCTTTGGTCACATCAGAAGGATCAGGCTGACATTCCCTGCCCCTCAGGACTAGAAACCATTACATTTGGTGAGGAAGGCTTTGCACTGGCCCTCCCTGACGCCGAGCACACACTTTGGTAATCGTTAGGAGTCACAGATCGGATCATGAATTCTTTCAGAAGCGGCGTTGGGAGTCATTTGGGTCTTTTAAGAAATTTTTCTCACCAAGAAAGTCAGAATGTTGTTTGTCTCCCGATTGAATCAGTATAGATTGTTCTTGGTTGCTAAGATCCTCCTGGCTGGGGACTTTGCCTTGGTAAGTATTCACAACGGGGGTGGGGATTCTGCACGCACCTGGTGGCATAACGGTTGCATGTGGGACCGCTAACCACAAGGTGAGCAATTTGAAACCACCAGCCACTCCTTGGGAGAAGGGTGAGGCTGTCGACTCCTGTAGAGTTGCAGTCTCAGAAACCCCACAGGGGTCGTTCTACCCGGTCCTATAGGGTCGCTCTGACTTGATGGCAGTAAGCAAGAGTTTGTCCTTCTTGCTTCTCATTCTTCAGTTTTCTGGAATGCACCTATTTTAAAAGTTTGTAATGAAAAAATGTGATTTTAATAACCTGCAGAGTCCCCATTGTTTGTAGACTAAAAATGACCTGTTCGCATTTTAAAAAACAGTCGTGTCTTGAAGCGTGTGTGGCTGGTAGGGACAGGCTGCAAAGGGGTGGGCTGTTGGGGTTCTGCGTGGTGCTGGAGCAATTCTATAAATCTCTCTCGCTCTTGCTCTCTCTCTCGCTCTCGCTCTCTCGAGCACACACAACCAGAGAGCACGTGGAATCTGAAGAAATGGGACTACAGTTTGCACCTGACCTAACAGGAGTGGCCCAATGCCAGGCTTTGAGTGAGGACCACTTACCATGGCTAAGAGAGAAGGGGACCCAGGAGCTCTCATAAACAACCCCTCCAACTTCTTAGAGGAGTCAAACGATGCTCCATGGGCTATGAATGAGATCAGGGGCCAACTGTGTCTTTAAGAATGTGTAGGCAAGTCAGAACAGGTGCACACTATATTTCATTAGCTTCAGTGTTAGTGTTAATGTTGTTAGTGTTAAGGTTAGGGTTAGGGTAAGGGTAAGGATTAGCGTTAGGGTTAGGGTTGGGGTTGGGCAGGGAGCCCTGGTGGTGCTGCCAGATAAGTACTGAACTGGTTCAAGGCCACCAGCTTCTCTGAGAAAGGCAAGGGTGTCTGCTCCTGTAAAACTTTTCCATCTCAGAAACCCAACACAGGCTTTCTAAAACATCAGCACTGGTCAGTAGTGCAAGGAGCCCTGGTGGCGCAGTGGTTAAAGTGTGAAACCTACCTGCTGCTCCACGTGCGCAAGATGTGGCTGTCCATCTACATATAGACTGCAGCCTCTGGAGCCCAAGGGGGCTTGACAGCAGTGGGGTTTGTGCTTCGTGCAAGAAGAGTCCTGGGGCTCAGGAGTCAAAGCCCTCCTCAGGAGACAGCTAAAGCAGTCTGCTCGCGTAAAAACCCACGGCCTTGGCGACCCCATGGAGCAGGGCTATACATCGAAGTCAGTTACAGGACCGTGGGTTGGGTTTGGGTCTGGGGTCAGTGCAAGTGCAGCAGGTAGAGGGGACGAAGACAACGGCTTTGGAGGAGCAAGAGCTGGCTCGGTCATTTCAAGTCACTCACTGGCATCGAGTCACTTCTGACGCGTAGCAACCCTATAGGACAGGGTGCAACTGCCCCATGGGTTTCCGAGGCTGGAGCTCTTTATGGGAAGAAAGCCTCGTCTTTCTCATGCAAAACGGCTGGTGGTTTCGAATTGCTGACCTTGCAGTGAGCAAGCCAAAGCGTAACTACTGCAGCACCAGGGCTCCTTAATCAGAGTGCCTAACATGACGTACATTTGCGTAACATGAAAGGGCAAGAACGAGTTGTTCATAAGTTGGAACTTCCTGTATTTCAAATAAAACCCACCCACTGCCATTGGATTCATCCCCGTTCCAAGGGACCCTCTAGGACAGAGTAGATGGGGGGGGCGGGCAGGCTTCCCCACCTTTCTCCCACAGAGCAGCTGTTACACTTTAACCACTGACCTTGTAGTTAGTAGTTCAACGCTTACTCCCCAGCACCACCAGGGCTCCTTGATAATAAAAGGGTATTTTCAAAAAGAAGCAACTTGGGTTATGGATGAAACTGTCCCCTAGAAAGTAAAGGGACCCTTATTTGAAAATCGAGTCGGACAAGAGTAGCTTGATCCGAAGTCTACTTCAGTGATGTCTTACACGCCCTGTGAGAACTCATCTAGAAGCAGCCAGTGAAGGCCAAGGACTGCTGGCAGCTGCTAGAATCTACAAGTGAGGCCTGGCATAGAAGTAGCTGGCATGGCCAAGACTGAAATCCTGACTGCCAGCCTCCAGACCTGGAAGACAATATATTTCTCTTCTTTAATTCATGACCGAATTATTTTGGTCAGATTTTGAATTCCAATGGAATGGAATCCCCACAGAATGCATGCTGAAGCATTGTGTCTTTAAACGTTTCCATCGGGGCTGGTGGACTTCGGTCAACATCATGAATATTATGGACTCTCTGGTGACAGAGTAGGTGGAGTGGAGCCTGGCAAAAAATGTGAATCTTAGTAAATTGATTTTATTTCGTGAAATGTTCGGAAGCATAGGGTAACGCAATAGCCTGACCTTGCTGTACAGAAGCCCAAAGAGCCAAAATGTGTCCCCAACCACCCCCACCTGTGGTAGTTACATCATTTCATGTCAACTTGAAGGTATATAATAGTGTAGGGGTGGGATCCACCCTGTCAATCAGATCACGGCCTGATGGGGCTTCCTGGTGGGCACGGCCCTCTCATGAGGAGGACCTGGAGAGCCTCTCTCTCTGCCTTCACTTTCCTGCTTGCTGGCCATCCCAAGAGCTGCCAGCACACTGGTCTGCACGTCTGCACCCACCAGCCTACGGTCTTCCTGCATTCTGCATTAGTGCATGTGGCTGCAGTGAGTCTGAAGAGGGACCTATTAGTATTGGATTATGGACTTGAGTCTGGCTGGGCTGGGCTGTTTTCTCGATAACATCATTACTTCTTGAGCTATAGCTGTTTCTTATACATATATGACGGTCGCTACATTTGTTTCCCTAATCAACCCTGCCTAACACGCTGCCTCATTCATTCAGTCATCTCTCAACCCAGCAGCGTGGCACCAATGAGCGGCCCTCGGTTGCACTTAGCTACGCAAGTCTCTGCCCTGATGCCAGCACATGAGCTGTGTGGGGAAAGAGCCTCTCAAGAAAGCCCAGCAGATGTATTTCATGACTTCAGCCACAGGAACTAAGACGTGGGTGCGACTCCCAGCGAGTCTCCAGGCTCCTCAGTAACCAAACCTTGGCACTGCCTCGGCACCTGGAATTGCCTGGCTCCAAGTACAAGCTGGAATGCTGCAGACATTCCCGCTTCCCAAAGGCTGAGCGGAACAGCTCCCTGCCCCCAGGGGACTGACTGCAGCTGCCCCGCTGCCCCTTTTGCCCAGGGTGAGGGCTCTGTTGGGAGGCAGTCACAGGCCCACCTACCTTTATTACGGTCAGGTTTGTAGTCACCACCACCTAGCACCTCTTCCAGTTCCTTGTCAGAAAAACCTACAGAAAACAAAAACGCAGTTGACCCTTGAACAAGTCAGGGGATTGGCATGCCAACTTCTGGTGCAGTCAGCATCCACGTGTGATTTACAGCTGGCCCTCGAGCAACTCCCGTTTGAACTGCATGGGCCAACTTGCGTGCAGTGGTGAGCTCAAGCACGACGACTCGCACTTCTAGAGCAGCTAGTTCCAACCATGACATTGAACCCAAGCCCAAACTCACTGCTAGCGAGTCAGTTCCGATGCCTGGCGACTGTACAGAACCGGGTGGAACGGCCCCGTGGGTTTCTGAGACTCACACACTCTGCAGGAAGGGAAAGCCCGGTGCCTCCCATGGAGCAGCTGGTGGTTTCAAACTGCTGACTTTCTGGTTAGCAACTCAACGTGTAATCACTGTGCCACCGGGGCTCCTAGCCATCACATTAGGGGTGAGTTAATTAACTGTTTGACTTAATGTAGCCATCTAGTTTTTAAGTGGGCATTCTGTGTGGCCCGTGAAGGGTTCCCCACCCCGGCTCTCGAGGCAGTGTCCACCCGGAGGTGCTGGTGCTGAATGTCCCAGCGTTTGAAGCGGAGACTCGCTACCCTGGAGCTGACCGCAAGAGCCCCAGTTAAAAAAGTCCTCTTGCAAGTGGGCCCATGGAGTTCGAACCTGTGGTTTTCAGGGGCCAACGATCTACAATTCACTTACCAAAAAAAAAAAAGTAACATTGAACAAGAACAAGGCTATTGTGTTACTGTTGCTCCAAAAAGTAACTGTCAGCTTTATGGGAAAATGTCCTTGAAGAACGCAGTGGGCAGAATTGTAAGAGGGTCCCCAAGAGTCCTGCCCCCTGATGATTAGGCCGGTTTTCCAGAACTTCAAATTGGTTCGTTCTGGTTTGTTCCCCTGCTGAGAATTTGCCTCTCTCCCAGGTGAATCTTCTGTATGACTCTTAGAGGTTGCTTGGGTCTACCTGGGGTGGAAAGGTAATTTCTCCGCAGGAGGTCAAACTAGAAAGAACCAGTTTGTATCTCTATTAGATATCAAAGGTGTAAAGGATGGTGCAGATGTAAAGGAGAAGGATTCCATTGCCGACTTCAGAGGAAACAGCTTCTGAAAACCGTATGGGAAGCTTTGAAACATTGTCGGACACCAAGACCTGGAATGGAAGCAGCACTTTGCCAGAGACGGTGCAGAGGATGGGCCCCTCGGATCAGAGGGCTCTGAAGAAGTGCCGGAGCAGGAGCTGCTCTGGGAGTGGAGTCGCCACACTGATGTGAGCAGGGTAGAGCCTTCAGCCTCTTCATTTGCTGAAGGGGCGCAACTCAAGGTAAGCAGAAACAGCTGCAAAAATCAGCTAACGATCAGAAGTTGAAATGTGCGAAGTATGAACCTAGGAACATTGGAAGTCATCAAAAGTGAAATGGAACGCATAAAAATTGATATCCTAGGCATATTAAACTGAAATGGACTGGTATTGGCCATTTTTTTAAAAATATGGAACGCTTCACAAATTTGCGTGTCATCCTTGCGCAGGGGCCATGCTAATCTTCTCTGTATCGTTCCAATTTTAGTATGTGTGCCGCCGAAGCGAGCACGGTATTGGCCATTTGTGAATCAGAAAATCACACGATTTACGATGCCAGGAACGGCACAATCAAGAGGAATGGCATGGCATTGTCAAAAAGGACATTCCAAAATCCATCTTGAAGTACAATGCCATCTGTGATAGGATTGCATCTATCCACCTTCAAGGAAAACCGATCAATGCAACTATTACTTAAATGTAGGCACCAACCACAAAAGCTAGTGATGAAGAAATTCAAGAATTGAACCACCGTCTTCAGATTGAAATGGATCAAACATGCAATAAGGATGCACTGATAATTTTTGGCGATTGGAATCCAAATGTTGGAAAGAAAGAGGAAGGCATAGTAACTGGAATATAAGGTCTCAGTGTTAGAAATGAAGCTAGAGATAGTACGATAGAATTTTGCAATACCAATGACTTGTTCGTTGAAATACATCTTTTTACCAAACTAAAGACTGGCTGTACACATGGACATCTCCAGATGGAATCCACAAAAATCAAATCAACTACAACTGTGGAAAGAGACGATGGAGAAGCTCAATATCAGCAGCTAAAACCACACCAAGATCTGACTGTAGAACCCATCAATTGTACATATAAGTACAGGTCGAACCTGTAGAAAGTTAAAACAAGTCCATGAGAGCCAAAGTTTGACCTTGACTCTATCCCACCTACATTTCAAGAATATCTCCAGAACCAATTTGACGCATTGAACATGACTCACAGAAGAGCTGATGAGCTCTGGGAAGACATCAAGAACATCATTCATGAAGAAAGCAAAAGGGCATTATTTTAAAGGGAAAAAGAAAAGATAAAAGTGGATGTCAGAAGAGACCCTGAAACTTGCTCGTAATGGTAGAGAGTAGGCAAATAGAAGAAGGATGAAGCCAAGGAGCTGCAGAGACTTTCAAAGGGCAGGATGAGAAAACGAGGTCCAATATGATGAAATCTGCAAAGACCTAGAATCAGAAAACCAAAAAGGAAAGGATACGTGCAGTATATCAGAAACGGAAAGAACTCAAGAGAAAATCCAAGCCTTGAGTTGAATTATTGAAAGATTATACGGGTAAAATACTGAACAATGCCACAAACCCCAAAAGAAGGCGGAAAGAATGCACAGTCATTGTACCAAAAAAGAACTGGTCAACATGCTACCATTTCAGGAGAGAGCATATGAGCAAGAACCCATGATGCCTAAGGAAGATAGATGTTCAAGCAACACTGAAAGCCTTAACCAAAACCAAGGCTCCAGGAACTGATGGAATAGCAATTGAAATGTTTCAACAAACTGATGAAGTACTGGAAGTACTTACTAATCTACACCAGGACATTTGGAAGACAGCTACTTGGCCAACTGACAGGAAGAGATCCATATTTGTAACCATTCCAAAGAAAGGTGACCCAACAGAATGCTCAAATCTTAGAACAATATCATTGATATAACAGGCAAGTACAATTTTGTTGAAGCCCATCCAACAGTGGTGGCAGCAGTACACTGACAGGGAGCTGCCAGAGGTTCAGGCCAGGTTCAGAAAGGGATGTGGAACAAGGCATATTAATGCTGATGTCAGATGGGTCTTGGCTCAAAGCAGAGAATACCAGAAAGCTATTGTGTTTCATTGACTATGCCAAGGCATTCGACTGTGTGGACCAGGGGGTCCTCAAACTTTTTTAAATAGGGGGCTAGTTCACTGTCCCTCAGACTCGTTGGAGGGCCGGACTATAGTTTAAAAAAAAAACTATGAACAAATTCCTATGCACACTGCACATGTCTTATTTTGAAGTGAAAAAACAAATGCTCCTTACAGGCAAGGATGGCGAGATGACTTCTTCCATGATTTAGACATGTTGTCAGGAGATAGCAGTCCCTGGAGAAGGGCATCATGCTCGTTAAGGTGGAGGGGCAGCAAAAGAAAGGAAGGCCTTCAAGGAGATGGATTGATTGACACTGTGGCTGCAACAATGAACCCAAGCATAGGAACAACTGTGAGGATGACACAGGACAGTGCAGTGTTCTGTTCTGCTGTGCATAAGGTTGCTACGGGTTAGAAATGACTCAGTGTTACTTAACAACAACCACAATGCAAGTGCCAAATCAGGTTGCCTTTGAGTCCATCCAAAGAGAGATTATCTTGGGTAGGCCTGCCCTCACTAGGTGAGTCATTTAAAAGTAGGGGTACTCCTTCCCTTCTCCTTCTTAATTTCCCTAAACCCTCTTGCTGCCACTGTGCTAGTCTTGAAGAAGCTGGCGGCCAAAGGTTCTACAGGCGCAACCAAGTGAGTTTGTGAAGAACACCCCGACCTTCTGATGAAACCCTAGCCCTGGCCTCGGAGACATTGAGCAGAGCCCCCAGCTCAGCATCCCCCATCTGCCGACCCAAGAAAGGGCTAAGAGGGCTAGTGGGCCAGGGGTGCAGTGATGTGTTATGCAGCAACAGGAGGCCTACACAGAAAGGCAGAACAAATGAATTTCATGATAGCTTTACCCTTGAGTGCATAGCTCTGGACATTCTGTGCTAACTGGACAGCATAAGAAGAAAGACCTGCCACTTCAAAAATACCCAATAATAACAATGAACCGTGGGGCTGCCAGGAGTTGGAGTCAACAGCAACTCTTATTTGTTATTATGATTATTATCATTAGAGTGCTACAAAAGCAGACCAGTATTACAGAAAAATAATAGCTATGCGGTTTTGAAAATCAGGTAGGTTTTCTCTTTCAAAGGAATGCCGTGAGCCCGTCACTGGAAGAACAATGAAACAATGGACACTGTGAACGCTGAACAACGTGTATCTGGCCCCATACATCTTTCAGTGAAGATATTAACCACTGTGAGTTGTCGACCTCAGAACTGGATTGTACCAGGCTCCTATGCTTGATTATTTCTATCACCGATTCTGGAGCAGATTCCTGATCAAAAGGGGGGAGAAGGGCGGATGTTGAACAGAACTTCAAATTCTAGACAACTCCACCTTCTTGCACATCGCCCATTCCAAGGCTTCAACTGAAATTTGTTCTGCTTCACTCAAAACTTGAACCACTCGAACACTGCAAGTACATTCCATCGGCCAAGACGGAACCAATTCGAATCAGTAGGAGCCCTGGTTTCTGTTCATGGAGGAGAGAGAATTCAGAAAAGGAGGGTGCGAACAGCCATACAACTCAACAAATAGCATCTATATTACAAAACCTATCACATTGGTATACGTTTTGCTGGCAAATCTCAACAAGAACAGCAAATGAACATAAACCAATAGGACTTTTAGAAACTCAACACACTTCAGGCTGCCCATATTTTCCAGATGTCCAGTGCAAGATGGTCCAAAGTCAAGAATGAGCATAGGGTCTCTTCAAAGGGCCAGAGAGTCCAATGGGTTTAGTGGAACCGAGTACAGAAAAGGCACTCACATGGTGTCCCATTCCACGCTGTGTGTCACTGTTGAGTCTGGAGGCCTATCTGACATGAAGGTCCCCACGGACTGGGAAGACCTTTTAGAACAGCTTCCTCTCGGCCACCTGCTTATGTAAGCCCAGAACAACATAGCCCACGGATTGACAGCAGGGGCAGATGTGAGAACCCAGCTTTTCCCCGAAGATAGACATGACTGACATTGACAAAGATGTACAACAAAACCATGCCGCTCACTAAATGTGCTGTTGTCTTCCCATAACGTGTTATCTATGCGAATATGTATATGTATAGATTTGTTGTTGATGATGTAAAATGAATTCATGGATATGTCAGGATTTTCTGTTATAAGTTCTATTATTCTAAGTATAAATCGAATCGTGTGACCTGCAACAGGGAATCCATGATAGATAAGCCCCCCCAGGGCTAACAGTGAGAGTAGAGATACCAGGAGGATTAGGGGAAGGTTGGGGGAGAAAGGGGGAATTGATCACAAGGCTCAACCTATAACCCCCCCTCTCAGGGGGACGAACAATGGAAAAGTGGGTGAGGGGTGACGCAGGATAATGTAAGATATGAAAAAAATAATCTATAACTTATCAAGGGTTCGTGAGGGAGGGTGGGTGGGGGAGGATGGGGGGAGAAAGGGGGAGCTGATCTCAGGGGCTCAAGTGGGAAGAGAATGCTTTGAAAATAATGATGGCGGCATAGGTGCAAATGTGCTTGACACACTGGATGAATGTACGGATTGTGATAAGAGGTGTAAGAGCCCCCATCAAAGTATTTAATAAACAAAAACAAAAAACAAAAAGTCTGTCTTAGGGCCCCAGGGACGTGGACCGAGAGCCACTGGTGGTTGTCACTGACCTCCTTCTCCAACACTCGGCCTCCTGTGCCCATCATCTAGGTCATTGCGATCATCCAGAGCATCCTCCAAGTTAAAGTCTTCTACACATAAAGGAGACAGGTGATTGGTAAAACTGCACACAGCTCACCCCCCTACCCCTGCCGAGGGAGCACCCGGCCCTCCCGTCCTGCCCTCCACTCCACGGGGCAGCCGGTTACCTGGAAGGTTGGCGGGAGCTTTGGTGGCTGCAGGCGCCCTGGTCGTGGTGGTGGTCAAAGGGTTCCATCGGTCTAAAAGCGAGGAAGGACAAAGGGAACACAGGAGGTAACAAGCCACACCACCACTGGGGCAGCTCCCAGGAGTCTGTTCCTGCAGGGCTCTGGAATGGCCCCGCCAAAGCATCCCTTGGGGCAGGATAGCAAAGAAGGATGTAGAAGGTTCCAGCAGACAGGTTCAGTTCCCTTTGGGGGGGTGGGAGGTGGTGGTGCTAAGACCTGGAGCAGGGGAGCTGGGGGATGACCATGTGACCAGGGAAGACCAGAGGTCGGGCAAGGCCCCGGAGAGCTGGCAGCCTGGTGTCCTCCATTACCAGCCAGGAACTGTGACCGAGGAACACTGCCAGGGGATGTACTGGAGCTCTCAGTGGCGCAAGGAGTTGGCTAGAAAATCAACAGTGTCACAATGAAACCCCACCACCACTGCCCAACACAGAATGGTCCCTAAAGGTATGGCTGCTGTCGTGAACAGCAGGCCTTCGTGCAGAGCCAGACAGCACACTGCGGCTCTCCAATGGCTGTGTTCTGAGCATCAAGTCTGTGTTGTGACTGTGCCTACCATCAGAGGTAGCGGCAAGAGAGTGCATTAAAGGAGTTGGGTCAGGCTGAGCGTTGCATGCAGCAAGCAAGAAACGATAAGGGGATTCCCCAAATTGTCCCTAGCCATTTATAAGGCATTACCTGTCTTTCTCGGATAGGTCCTTGGTGTTGTCTTGCTATCAAAGAAATGCACACTTGGATCGTCTGCAAAGAGAGTGTAGACAGTAGTCAGCTCATGAAAGGCGCTGAGTCGCCAGCCTAAACCCACTGCCATTGTTTAGTGAAAAAGAAGAAATATCTCTAGTCAATATCCACAGGGACTCCCACCTTCAGAAATCAAAAAAACAGTAACAACAACAACAACGAATGAAAACACACACACACACACACACACACACACACACACACACGCAGAAGCAAGGAAGTAGCAAATGTTAGAGCAGAGAACAATAAAACAGGATCAGAAAAGCAATAGAGAAGACCAACAAAACCAAAAGCTGATTCGTAGAAAAGATCACCAGGATGGACAAACCTTTAGAATCCTCAGCAAGAAAAGAAAGCCCCCCAGTGACGAAAGTCAACAACGAAGGTCAGCACTTTACTAATGGCTTTGCAGAGAGGAAACGGAAGCTAGGGCAAGGCAGTGGCGAAGTAGATGCCAACAACTGACACCACTCAGAGGACGCCAATGCATGCCTAGGAAGACACACCCTACGGCCACTGTTTCAAGAAGGAGCAGAAACTCTGGATATACTTCTAACAAGTAAAGCCGTCGAGTTAGGAGTCAAAAATCGTCCAATACAGAAATGTCCAGGAGCACAGAGAGCTTCACTGAACATTTCCCGGAGAATTGATGCTGATCCTTGTCAAATTCTTCCAAGGGCTAGCATCGAAGGTAACGTTTCCTTACTCATTCTAGGAGGCCAACATGACCCTGCTACCCAAACCAAAGACAGGGCATGAAAAAAGAGCTGCACATCACTGTCCCTTATTTCTAGGGATCTGGATGGCCACTTACATATATAGGGCTAGGCATATGCTTTAGAAAGACCTGTGAATACCCTCCTACCATAAATAACATTTTACTTCTAAGAGTTTTATAGTATTAGGTCTATGATCCAGTTTGGGTCAAGTCTGTGTATGGCGTGAGGTCCAACTTCATTCTTTTTTATGTTCAAATTCAGTTATCCCAACATGGTTGAAGATACGATTCTGTCCTCACTGAATGGAAATGGCATCCTGGTTGAAAATCAGTTCATCCTAGTTGTGTGGCGTTATTTTCAGACTCTCGAGTCTATTCTATTAGTCCACATTTCTCTCCATATTCCACTAGCTAACTAACCCACGGCCGTTGAGTTGATCCTGACTCATAGCATCCTTATTGGACAAGGTAGAACTGTTCCTCTAGGATTCTAAAATTTTCAATCTTGACTGAAGCATAGTGCCTCACATTTCTTCCACGGAGCTACTGGTGGACAGGTGGGTTTGAACTTCTGACTTCATAGTTGGCAGTTCAATGCATAACCGTCAACACCACCAGGATGCCTTATCCCTTATATCAACACACTATCTTGACTAGCTGTATAGTCAATTCTAATATTGACAGGTGTGACTCCTCAGACTTTATTCTTTTTCAAGGTTGTTTTGACTGTTCTGCATTCTCTGACTTTCCATATGAATTTAAGGATCAGCTTGTCTATTTCTGCAAAACAGTCATCTGGGATTGGACAGGAATGTCCTCGAGTCTGTCAACCCATTTAAGTGTGCACTCCTGGAGTCTTGACTCATATGCCAGAGACAGGCAGTCTGTCTAATAAAATCAGTTAAATAATAACAATAATGTCCAACACTTACTGAGCACTTGCCTTATACCAGGTAACTGTGCTAAGCACTTTACACAGGTCAGCTAGTCTAATTCTTACAGTAATCCTAGGAGATCCAAACTCTCTAAAACCAAGGTCACTGCCATCAAGTTGATTCCAACTCATAGTAACCTTCTAGCTTGGGCTAGAACTTCCCCCTTGCATTTCTGAGACTGGAATTCTTTTTTTTTTTTTTTGTCTTTGAATGTATAGAAAATATCCTTTTTGAGCTGATTAACATCTAATGAAATGTTTCCTTTAAACCCTTGCAAATGTTTCTTAATCAAATCCCACTCATGCAATGTTACATTATACAGGTAAGGAGTTACACAGAAAATAGTTACATTTCAATCACATTACAGCATAGGCAGCAGTGGTGGCAATGGCTATGAGTCACTTGCCACTTCTGCACGAAATTCCCACGAATCGGCGAGGTCTTTTCAGCATCTCTGACATCACTTGTATCACGAAGGATGATTCAGGACTGCTCTCCCATCTGCGTTTCATCTCCACCGGGATCCACACCCCCATCCTGCCTTTTAGGATGAGGATGCTATCTTTTGAAAGGTTTATAAGCATAGCATGGTTAATGCAAGTGAACAATTCACGATTATGGCAAGTGGCACTACGAGCAGTTTCCAAAATCTTGATCTTTCAGCAAAGCAGCAGTCTGTAGTAATAGTCCAGTTATTATTGTATAAAATGGTCAGCTTTGATAGAGTCCCAGAGTGTCCCTTAGACAGCATCCGTAATGAAAGAAATATCTCTGCAGTCAGCGATCTCCATTCTCAGGAATCTGCGAGGTCTTCTCCATGTTTTGGGTAACTTCAATAACAGGACAGGGTCACGTCACAGCATGGGCATCCCTCTTTTCTTCTGGGCCTTGCTGGCTGTAGAGAAATCCACCTATTTCCTTTGCCTCAGCCCAGCTTGGTGGTCCACGTGGAGAGAGGGGGAAGTGAAGGAGGGAAAGGGAACAGGGGAGAGGGGGAAGAGTCAGGGAGGTCAGAGTCTGAGAGAGAAGTCCAACCGACTGGAATTCTTTATGGGAGTAGAAAGCTTCATCTTTCTCTCATGGAGTGGCAGATAGTTTCAAACTGCTGACCTTGTGATTAGCAGCCCAATGCATAACCACTACACTGCCAAGGCTCCTCAACCCTAAGTGATAAAACTTATTATGATCTGCCTGTTAACAGATGATGGAGCTGAGGTGCAGAGAAGTGAGGTGACTCACCTAAGGTAACAGATAATAGATAGCAAACCTAGGGTTCAAATCTAGGCAGTCTAGCACCAGAGACCATGTCTTTCTTGATCCAGAATACAGGGAGAGGTCCCATAAGCCCATACAAAAAGACTAGCAGCCAAAGAGAACGACAAGGTAAGGATATGGGCACAGATGATCCATCAGAGAAGAAAATACAAATGGACACAAATGCATTGATTGGTCAAATCTGGTGTCACTGCACATCTTGGAAAACAGGTCATCTTCTAACAGTCTTGGTGGGACTGTGCGGCATAACCACATTTGATCTGATCATGGAAAATGCAGAGTCTCCATTATTTTCATAAGAAGCCCTGGTGGAGTAGTGGTTACGCGTTGGGTGGCAATCTGCATGATCTGCAGTTCAAAACCCCTAGCAGCTGTGCTTTCTGCTCCCGTCAACAGCGACAGTCTCAGAAACCCAGAGAGCAGTCGCCAGGGATCAGCAGTGACTCGATGGCAGTGAGTTTGGGTTTGTTGGCACGGTTTGCAGGCAGTGTGCATATTAATTACTGCTGCTTGGTTACTCCCGTCTTCTTGGACTTACTACTCATGCTTTACTGAGGAGGATTCTTTCCACGCCTCTTCCAAATTGAAATCCTCTCTGAGACTGCAACATAAAACCACGAGGCTTAGATTTCACTATCTTTGCGTGAGATGGAAGTCCGCTAAAGTCTGCTCTTGAAATGGCTCTCGCCTCCTCCGCAGACACTTCTGCTCCAGAAGGAAATCACCTGAAGTGGCCCAAACTACAGCGTCTCTCCACGCAATCAACACAAAACAAAAAGCATCCGCAGCGACTGGAAGGGTGAGGACTCGGCTGGTTGGAACATGGAGGACCGTCTGGTAAATCACCTTCTCTACCATGTGACTTATGCAAGAGGGAGTGTAAGAGCCCGAAGAGGCGCTAAAGATAGGTCACGTTCTCTCAGCCCATTTTCTCAGTCCCAGGAGTTTTAAAAGTTTTTTAAAAAGGAGATTTTAAAAGTTCATAAAAAAACTCCACTCTCTTTTCATACTAATTTTCCGTGAACTTTTTGAAGCCCCCTCATCAAACCTCTAAACCAGGCATTCTCACACTACTACGGCCCGCCCAGGACGTTTATCCAGCCCCCCGGGTGTTTTTGCCCCGTTTTGTTTGTTTACTTCAAAATAAGATATGTGCAGTGTGTATAGGAATTTGTTCATAGATTTTTTTAAAAAAAACTATAGTCCAGCCCTCCAACGGGTCTGAGGGACAGTGAACTGGCCCCCTGTTTAAAAAATTTGAGGACCCCTGTTCCAAACCATTCAAGGAAGGAAAAAGAAAACAAAACAAAGGAAGCGCACCACCCCCACCAACCCCCAAAGGGGGGACCCAAGACAGCATAGGTGACAGAAACCACGACCGCTCACTGCGTCAGGAACAGAGACACTCCGTCAGCAACAACAGCCCCCAAGAAGCGTGGACATCAGTTCCATTCCCTGTGCAGAGACAAATGGGGTGTCTCGGAGACCTAACGACACGCTATTGGCAAAGCATACGTCTACAGCCAAAGGACCAACACCAAGAGGTTGCAAATAAGAGAAGGGGGAGAGGTGTATCAGGCAATGGACAGTGGGGAGAAATATCAAACACAACGTATCTCACAATGATAACGAACTAAAACATAGAAAGACCTCAATCGAAAAGAAAGCAGACACATTTAAAATGAGACAAAAGGGAGAGAAATGATAAGGTGTTAACCCTGGAACCTCACTGCCCTGATGGCGGAGCGGCTACTCACTGGGCTTGCTCACTGCTAGGTCAGCGAGACATGGGCACCAGCTGCTCCGCAGGAGAAAGACGAGGTAGACGTGACAATATTAATATCAAGCAAAACAAAATCAAAGACAGAAAGCTCTCAACAGGAAAAAGGCAAGATTTCGTGAGAATAAAGAAAATCAAAGTGGTGGCACTGAAGAGCCGAGCTTCCACAATTCCCCCGTTGCCTCTGCTTCTCGCTACGATGGAGTCACTATCTGATGTCAGATAATGGACAAAACAGAGGTGTCCTGAGAGGCATCTGCGAAAAGGACATCACACTAGCTAAAGCCAGCGG